TTCATGGGTATTAATTCAACATCACAAACTTTGTGTTTCAGCCTTAACAAACATGATTTTGGTTTTTATGATATCTGCAATGACAATTATCAAGACTGACTACTGATTTTTCTCTTTATTTTTCAGGTATATTGTTTCCGATTGTGATTCTATCGATGTAATGGTCAACAGGCACCATTTTCTCAATGATGCGCCAGAGGACGCCATGGCTCAAGTTCTAAAAGCTGGTTGGTCTAGTGTTGCTTTACTTTTGTGCTCTTTTATTACCATTTACTCCATTATTCTACCTTCTTGTTTAATTATCCCATCTAATTATCCTTTCATCGCATTTTAGTTAAGATATAAATAAGGCAGAAACTACTACTAACTGAAAAATGGATTGACATACATAACTTAGTTCTCATGATTAAAAATGTAAAGAATGTAGGATGAGATCTAGATTGACATAGACATGTTTCATTAACATCCACAAAAGATTTTGTTTATTTTATTGCTCTTTTCTTGATACTTTGTAAATATGCCTAAAAATTGTATTAACATTGTGTACAGCTCCAATTTTGAAACGTTGTAATAGTGTTGTGTGAAGAATTGTAAGTCCTATGTAAGATTGTTCTATTCACATTTTTCAGTGCCATCTAATATTCTTGTTTTAATAATTTCAAGTCCCATTTTATTTTTTTGGCTTTTTTTGTGAGTAATTAACATTTTTCTTTCTGTTTTTGTTGTCATTTCAGGTTTGGATTTGGATTGTGGAGAATATTATACCAAGTATGGTGCCAATGCAGTAAACCAAGGAAAAGTTAGGGAAGCAGACATAGACAAAGTCTTGAAAAACCTCTACATCGTCCTTTTCAGGCTTGGACACTTTGATGGCAGTCCACAGTTTGAAAAGCTGGGCAAGGATGACATTTGCTCTCAAAGCCACATTGATTTAGCCATTGAAGCTGCCAGCGAAGGAGTGGTTCTACTCAAGAATGATAACAATACTTTGCCATTGGATGCTCAGAAAGTTAAAAAAGTTGCCGTGGTTGGGCCACACGCCAACGCCACTAAAGTTATGATTGGCAATTATGCTGGTAATTGTTGAAATACAAACAAAATCAAGCATTGTTATTTTTTTATTTTCTTAATTTGCATAGAGATTGATTTTTTTTTCCCTACAAATGCTTTCTTAATTTGCATAATTTTGTTGATTTGTGTTTGTGTGTAGGTATACCATGCAAATATACCACCCCACTGGATGCATTCAGACAAGCTTATGGGAATGATAATGTGTACTATGCACCAGGCTGTCCAGATGTTGCTTGTAGAGATTATAGTTTGGTTTTCCCAGCAGTCCAAGCATCTAAAAAAGCGGATGCTGTCATCATTGTTGCTGGAATAGATACCTCAGTTGAGGCTGAGAGCCTTGATAGGGAAAATCTTCTACTACCTGGTTATCAATATGAATTAATAGATCAAATTTCAAGGCAATCCACCACTCCTATTATTCTGGTAATCCTATCTGCCGGTGGTGTTGACATTTCTATCGCCAAAAATAATTCAAGAGTTAGTGCTATCCTTTGGGCTGGATATCCTGGAGAAAAGGGTGGCCAAGGCATTGCAGATGTTATACATGGGAAATACAATGCTGGTACGCCTGTTTTCTTTTTTCCTTCTAAAATGCTAATACTTTTTTTTGTTTATCATGATATGAAACATCATTAAGCCAAAAGTCGAATCTTATCTTACTAATACAATTTGCAATTTTTATTTGTAGCTGGAAGATTGCCCCTTACATGGTTTGAGAACGATTATGTCAACCAGATACCAATGACATCAATGCCATTGAGGCCAGTAAAGGAATTGAATTATCCGGGTAGAACCTACAAGTTTTACAGTGGCTCAACTGTGTATCCATTCGGGCATGGGCTGAGTTATACCACATTTAAGCATTCCGTGGTAACAACAACGAGATCATTGTCCATCAAGCTGAACAAGTTTCAATTTTGCCGTGACCTCAATTACACTGATGGTGCTAAAGCGCCTGCATGCCCCGGAGTTTTGATTGATGATATCAACTCTGACAATCTAAATATTGAGTTTGAGGTTAAGGTAGCAAATGTTGGGGAAAGGGATAGTAGTGAGTCCCTCTTGATCTATTGGGTTCCTCCGCAAGCCATTGTTGATGCTCCCATCAAACAGTTGGTTGCATTCGAGAAAGTTTTTGTACCTGCCGGAGAAAGCGTAAAGGCTAAATTCAACTTGAACGCCGGCAAGAATTTGGGACTGATAGATTACAAAGGTTATAATATTTTGGCTTCTGGAGAGCATACCATTGTGATTGGAGAGAACGATGCTTCATTCCCTCTTCACATCGAGATCGAAGAATATGTGTTCAACCAGGAGGATTAGGAGTTTAATTTTTTTTTTTTTTTTTGTTAGCAGCTTATTAGAGATGTTTAGGTAGCCATTGCTGTATTGCAATTATCTTTTAGTTAGGCTACTACTTTGGAATTGATTGCTTAGGGTGGTATTAATTGGTATTCCTTTTTCCATTGATATAAATAACATAGATGCTGATTCGTATTTGAGTTTATAAACTTTTGATATTCCAATTAATGTTCTAAAATTTTTGAACTTGTGACACAAAAAATTACCACACAAACTCCTGTAGTTGTACAATAACATATACTTACAAGCTCCGAGTTTAACCATGCATGAATGAAATCTTTGGTAGTTTTTTTGCCTGGCATAAATTGAGTTCTCAAGTACGTGCTGCAGCCATCGGGTTTTCAAATAAGTGTTTTAGCCCTTATAATCCCTCTATCTTTACCACCCTTCAAACACTAGTTATGAATTGATATGAGTGCAATAGTAATGAATTGATATGCATGCAGAATTCTCAATTCTCATGATTGAATAGTATGAAGATCGAGTTTATTGGATAAGTATCAATAGTTTGTAATTAAAAGAATTTATACCGTTGGCCTTGTTCCCTCCTGAGATTAAAAGCATAACTCAGTATTTCTATGAGAGCCAACAGATTCTGCTCTTGATAAGGTGGCTGATGATTGAATTATCTTAGCAAAAGATGAACATTAGACACTAAAGTTATGCCACACCAAAAAAAATTTGTTGAGACACTAAAGTTAGCAAAAGATTGATTTATCATGAGACACTAAAGTTATGCCACACCAAAAAAAAATAAAAATAAAAAGATTGGTTTCAGTTCTACAATTTCTTGAGGAATTCAGAATTAGAGGCACCAAGTGTTCATTTAAATTACTTATTCAGCCATGTTTGAGAAATTGATTAAACAAGTATGAGTTACTACATATTTGTAACAAAGAAAGACGGAAATTCGCTAGACCTATCATATAGTTGTCTTCAAAGTTTTTTTCACTGTCATGTTCAGGGTTCATGTTAACTATCTACTAATTTAGAGTAATCGTCGGGAATTAATTTAATTTTTTTCCCGTGCTGGTTTATAATTAGCTAGTTATCAATAAAACCAGGGCATCTGATCTGTAGTTTGGGTTAAATAGTCTTCTCCCTAAATTGTGTATCTTTTATTGACTAATGCTTTGGTTGTAGCTAGGAAGACATTTAGTTACATTCTCGATCGTAGAAATGTGCCATTCCCTTGTCATAGGTTTATTTATAATAAATCAACTTAAACAATTATTCGAGTCCTCTCCTTGATTGATTAGTTCTCTTTTATATAGTCTTATAGACATGTGATTTGTTCATTTGAGATGGTATTATTAACGAACTTTAAGAAACTGATTGATCATGGGATATCTTGGGATTATATCCTAGAACATTTTGGGCATCCATCAAATGTGGCACCAGTTAATAATGCGAAAAAAATGACATCTACAAAATCAAAATTCATGTCGGAGGATCAAACGAAAGAAGAGACAATTAAAACTACAAAAGAGACAATCCAGACTTAACTAAACACTGAAATGCCAAGTGAGGTACTAGTGCTATCACTAACAGACGGCAAAATGCAGAGAAAGATAATGCAACGAAACTTCAGAGGTGCATGGCAATTAGCAACCATCTTCCTGGGCTCATTCCTTGCTATATCAACGACGTTATACCTTTCCGATATACATGAAAAAAAATAGCAATCCTCTATTCCTCGTGTTGCAATCAACAAAGAGGAGATAAACTGAAGTTAAAAAGAAATAAAGCTAGCACAAAACTAAGTTGTGCATGCACTTTTTGTCAGGAAAATCAGCCGCTAAGTGAATGTATCCAAATGGGGTGTCAAAAAAAAAAAAAAAATGAGGAGGAGAGAAGGATAAAAAAAAAAACCAGATTAGAAGTCTTTGTGACACCAAAAAGAAAAAAAAAAGACGTAAATGGACTGAGATTTAAAATTACAGCATTAGAAATGACTATCAACTGAAATTATATTAATTTGGAAATTTTTTGTACGCGAGTTAATATGCTAAATTACTCAACAGACATAAGTGGGAAATGGTAACGGCTCTTTGTCATATAATAACAGCATGATTTGGATATCCCAACTTCAGGATTTTGTAGTTTACGTAAAAGTATCTATAGAAACCAGTGTCACACTAGTATTAGGCTAATCATTTGGGTGATAAATCTCCCAAGTAGATTAATAATGTGAAGAGTAATCTATAATGAGATAATTATTCTGCGGTTAGACAGATAGATATATTTAGATATGCATATAAATCTTATTATTCACAGTATCTAACGAGAACTAAGATATGCATATGGATCTAATATCCAGATTAAGCTAACGACATTTGCATAATATCCTCCAGCTCTATCTTGCATGTCTATATCAAGGGGCTATTTGCAGTGGCGTTCAATTATCACTTACAATGGCAAGACTTCACTCCATTCTCTTTTTGTCAGTTCTCTGCTATGTTGCGACTGCCAAGAAAATTCTTTTGTCCACACCGAGAATGGATGATTCTCAGTCTTCCCATGTAACCCAGACCTACACCTACGTTTGCCATCCATCAAGATTTAACGACCTTGGCTTAAATATGGAATATTTTGGCTACTGCAATAAATCACTTCCATTTGAGGTTAGAGCCAAAGATTTGGTAGATAGATTGAGTTTGACTGAGAAGGTGGGGCAACTTGGAGACCAGGCCAATGGGGTGCCAAGGGTTGGTCTACCAAAATACTATTGGTGGTCCGAGGCATTACATGGTGTATCAGACTTCGGTGATACGGCAACCTTTTTCAATGCTACCATCCCTGGTGCAACAAGTTTTCCCACACCTATTTCCATGGTTTCATCCTTCAACGTCACTCTTTGGAAAACAATTGGCCAGGTAAATTAAGAGGGCATAAAAATTTTTTTTTTTGCCCTTTTTCGATTTGGACCATTTTTCACTAGTAAGTAATGAGGTTAAAAATTGCATTTGAAGGTTGTTTCTACCGAAGCAAGAGCAATGAATAACTTAGGTCAAGCTGGACTAACATATTGGAGTCCAAATATGAATGTTGTGAGAGATCCTCGATGGGGAAGAGCCCTGGAGACACCCGGAGAAGATCCATTTGTAGTCGGAACATACGCTTCTACATACGTGAGAGGGTTGCAAGATGTTGAGGGGACTGAAAACACCACAGATTTGAACTCTAGACCCCTCAAGGTTGCAGCATGTTGTAAACATTATGCAGCATATGATGTTGATAACTGGTTTGGAATTAAGCGCGAAGGCATTGATGTATCAGTAAGTTTTATAACAACTTAAAATTCTTTAGCTAAAATCCATTAGATTTTTGGGCATCATGTTGCTTATTTTAATTTTGTGTTTTATCTCTTCCGAAGGTGAGGGAGCAAGACATGCTGGAAACATTTGTGAAGCCATTTGAGATGTGCATCAATGACGGTGATGTTTCTAGTGTTATGTGCTCTTATAATCGCATCAACGGCATCCCTGCATGTGCAGATCGGAGACTTCTCCTTGACACCATAAGAAAGGAGTGGAATCTTCACGGGTATTGACCATCATAAGACCTGGAAATTGAATTTTTGTGACCATGGGTTTATATTATCTTCAATTAGGACAATCATAATTTACTTCTTTTCCTTCAAAAAAAAAAATTTAGGTACATCGTTTCTGATTGTGATTCTATTGAGGTAATGTACAAGAATCACAAATGGCTCAATGATACTCCTGAGGCGGCTGTTGCTCAGGCTTTGAAAGCAGGTTGGTAGTTGTAGCCTAATTTATACTTTTGTTATTTTAGCTGTATTTCAACTGTTTGTTCATTTACTCTTTCAATTTTGAAAATAAGTAGGGGTTGATGTGTTATTTTGGAAACAAGTAGAAACCAGTAACCAACGTATCCTAAAGCAGCTTACAGCTGTCGACAAGGAAGCAAGGAAAAAATGATGCAGAAAAATAAATCAAGTGATGTGAAAAAAGTCATCATCAATTCAATATGGTAAAGAAGACAGTCCCGCAAGGTAAAATGTGAAGGTTAGCAGTTTAGAAGTTTGAACATTGAAATTCAGGTAAAGAAGATTAGTGGGCTATATTTATTAAATTCATCAAGGATGAAAACAGCAACTGTTTAAAAAAAAAAGCAACTGCTTTTTCAGTTTTTGCAAGAAATCTGTGTAGTTTGGCGAAGAAGAATTTATCTCCTGAAAAAGAAACCAAACAGGAATGACCCATTTCCTTGATAATAGTACACTTTTTGCAGCACACCGGTTCCGTTTATGATTATCAAAACTGAAAAAAGGGAACAAAAAAAAAGAGGAAAAAGAAAAAGATTAACGTTGCTATTGATTGTCTGGTTTTTCTTTTGTTAATAATAGATTTCAAAATATTGAACAACAGTTCCGATAAATTAACGTTCTATACTTGATTAGAATCTACCCGAACACAAATTATAGCAGCGGAAATATGTTTTCTCTCCTATGTACGATAACTTTCTAGGCTTTTTATTTCATGTTTCCAAAAAAAAGGAATCTTTAAATGAAACCCTTTTTCCCTGTTGATTTTTGTTGCCTCTTATTGGGCATTTTATTTATTTATTTATTTATTTTTACTTAAGGTTTGGATTTGGACTGTGGAGCGTACTATACAAAATATGGAGGCAATGCAGTAGTGCAAGGGAAAGTTAGGGAAGCAGATGTTGATAAAGCTTTAAAGAACCTCTACGTTGTCCTTATGAGAGTTGGCTTCTTTGATGGTAGTCCACAATTTGAAAGCCTTGGCAAGGCTGACATTTGTTCCGAAGGCCACCGTAATTTAGCCATTGAGGCTGCTAGGCAAGGAATGGTTCTACTTAAAAATGACGATGCAGTTCTGCCATTGAATGGACAAGACATTAAAAGCATTGCATTGGTTGGGCCACATGCTAATGTTACTACAACTATGATCGGCAATTATCATGGTACGTATGAAAGAAGTTAAAATGAAAAAATTTATAAATTTTATTTAATTTAAGACTTTTAATTTTTTTTTATTAAAAAAAAAATTGCATGTCTGATATATCTGCATGAAATTCTTTATGTTTTGCAGGTATTCCATGTGGATATACCAGTCCACTGGATGCGTTTAAACAAAGTATTGCGAATGTGTTATATGCAATCGACTGCGCTGATGTTTCATGCAACAATGGCAGCTCATTTTCTCCAGCAATACAAGCAGCTAAAGACGCGGATGCTACTGTCATCGTTGCAGGACTGGATTTAACAGTTGAGGCAGAGCAACTGGACAGAGAAGATCTTCTCCTACCTGGTAATCAAACTCAATTTATAAATCAAGTTGCATCGGCATCCAAAGGTCCGGTCGTCCTCGTGATCATATCAGCGGGTGGTGTTGATATTTCCTTTGCCAAAGCGAATCCAAACATCAAAGCAATTCTTTGGACTGGTTATCCTGGAGAGCAAGGTGGCCATGGCATTGCAGATGTCATCTTTGGAAAATATAACCCCGGTATATATATACCAAGTCCATTACACTCACTACAACACTTGGTTGTTTTGGTAATTCAATACTGATTTGCATAATTTTTTTTAATGCAATTAAAATCTCTTTTAATAGGTGGAAGGCTGCCCCTAACATGGTATGAGAAGGATTATGTGGATTTGATACCGATGACATCATTACAATTGAGGCCCCTCGCCAGTTTAAACTATCCTGGCAGAACTTACAAGTTTTTCAATGGCTCTACTGTGTATCCATTTGGATATGGATTAAGTTATACAACGTTTGGGCTCAGCTTGACAGCTCCAAACATAGCATTCGATATCCCCCTGAATAAGTTTCAGAAATGTCGTGATCTCAATTACACAGAGGGTGCTTCCAAGCCCTCGTGCCCTGGAGTTTTGATTGACGATCTTGGTCACCAGTGCGACAGTTTGACTGTTGGTTTCGATGTCGAGGTAGCAAATGTTGGGGAAAAGGACGGTAGTGAGGTTGTATTCGTTTACTGGGCTCCGCCAAGAAGCATTGTTGATGCTCCTATCAAACAAATCATCGCATTTAGCAAAGTTTTTGTTGCAGCTGGGGAGAGCACTAGTACTCACTTCGATTTCAATGTTTGCAAGAGCTTGGAGCTGGTCGACTACAAAGGTTATAAGCTTTTGGCATCTGGAGTACACAAAATCATTGTGGGTAATAACGATGGATCATTCCAAGTCCCTATCAACTTCCAAACATGATATTTTAAGAGTTGTTTTAGTTACAACTCTTAGCTTTGGTTGTTTTGTAGATTCTTTAAATAATTGTTTAGGCTTTGCATAGAGGAGAGTTCTATTTAGGATTTTTCCTAGATTGGTAGGGTTTGTTTTCATCTTGGGTTTCTAATGTTTAACATTTTCTTGTTACATAAATTTAGTGTCTGGATTCAGTCTACATATATGTTTACCCTTTGTGAGAAAAACTGTAACCACTAGTACGCTAAGGGTCACCGAAATATGGTAATTGGATACATACCAGATGTGCTACAAAACAAGGGCTCCATGCCAAATTTTTTGTAAGTTTTGGTAGTAACAGGAATGGTAGAATTTTCTGAAAAATCCTGAATACCTTTTTTGACCTTTTTCTTTGTCTCAAGTAAAATGCTGCTCTAAAATTTTTCTAAAGCAACTAAAAGGCATTTTGTTTCTTTCTTCATTTTTCCTTTTTTTTTTTTTTTTCCTTTTTGGGGTTTGGTTGAAAAAAGAAAGGGTGTTGTGGGAGTTTACTAAACAAACCCTTTTAGTCTCCATGGATATTCATGCAAACTCTTCATGGACTGCTCTGTCCCTGTAATTTCCCTCCAGCTTGGATGCGTAGTGTTTTTTTTTTTTTTTGTTCTTATCTCATCCCCATTTTGAGCAGAAGAATGCTTAATCAAGAAGAATTCGTGCTAGACAGGCAAAATTTGAGTGCGGGGATCTCAATTACATACTTGAAAATTGTCCTTTCAGTTTTAGTCATACTTGTCTATTTGGTATTCATTTCGAACCGGTTTTGCATGTCTTCTTCTTCCTTTTTTTTTTTTGGATTAATAGCAGAGGCAGAAATGGTTTACGTAAGAACGATGTGCCACTTTGCAATTATAATTTCTGATGGATTTCAGTCAAGACTTTTTTTTCAAGATGCTTTGTACTCTAGCGCTACTAAGTCATCGCAAGTTGCCCCATGATTCACACGTTGCTAATGACATCCTGCACAGATAAACAGCTGCATTGGGAAAAGGATTTTCCTAATTAATACTTAATGGGCACTCATTAAGGCTGTTAAAATATATTTAATCTACCATGTAAACTAATAATTATTACATTTTCATGCACTTTTCTTAATTAACTTGATATTTTTCAAAAGTTTAACACCTAAATTATGTCTCAAAGAGCGTCCCAACATAAAATACTAGTAGTAAAATATCGTGTACTGGTGCAAAGTAAATACATCTTTTCTCTACTTTTCATCATTGATGATGGGTGAGCAATTGGCTAATTGTAGAAGGATTTGTACCTTGTCTTTTTTTTTTTTTTAACCTTCACTCCTTGACACTCTTATTATTACTCTCATTTGTCAAGTTCAAAATTCGAATCGTGAATGATTAGAAGAAGTTTAAACGTTCTTCTCTGGCTATTGAGCCAATCTCACTGGTTTACTTAAGTTGATTATTGCAAAGTGCCAAAACAAAACGTCAATTACAAAGTGAAAAGTAGATATTGTGTGTGGAACAGCTGTTTGAATCATTTTTTTTTTTGGCTAATGTCGTCACTCTCTAACCATGAGTGCCCTACTTTTGATCATAAACAGCGATTCTTATGTATATAAAAATAAAACGAAATTCTTATCTTCTCCGTCAAGATTTTGGTTTTGTCAAAAAGACTTGAGCTTAAAAGAGTCTTAAAGCCTCTACCCATCCGTGGGAAAGGCAAATTTTAATGTCAATCACAATGCCTCACTAATTTCCAGGCATTTAGCCCTTAATTGGTTGAGAATGATGCTGATTCATGGCGTAGAAGGTTCCTCAGCAGTCGAAAATTTACTACATCAAGTTGAACCGCGTTACGAATCTGGATCGGTGAGACAAATTTGTTTGGTCATCATCATTGATTATTTTTTACAATCCATTTCATCTTATTACTTAATCCAACTCTCTCGCCCAAGTTCCTTGAATTTGCTTTATGTCGTAACTGCAAAGCAACGGCGTACTTTCGGTTTTTTTTAGGCTCCTTGCACCCTTATTAGCTACTTTGTCTCGTCTTAGTTTTCTTTCTTCGGGAAAAGTCGGGTTCCATGGACAATTTCGCCATCAACTGAGCTGCTCGAAAAAATCAAACATGGACCACTCGTTATGAGGCCCATTTGGCAACAATGATCCGTTGGTAAGATGGGACACGTCAAAGTCAACCACCCCAATATATATACACTGAGAATGTCACCGTTAGATTCATAACATAGTGTAAAAATTAAATTTTAAATTTAAATTTTATATAATTATCGTACATTCAACGCTGATTGTGTATACATTATTAATATTAAAAAAATTAATCTTTTCTTCTTTTTTTTTCCTTATTTTCTCTTTTTGATTGAAGGGACATGGTGGAGTACTTTATTTCAAGATAGAAAATTTGGCTTTATTATTTTTTTTCTTGTTTTGTTTTTGCAAGATAGAAAATTTTGAAAAGACGGGAGGTTGATCTCATTTCGAGGCCGATCCATTGCATCGGCGCAATGAACGACTTATAGTAGTGGTGATTCTATAAATATCCATCTTCTTATTTTGTTTTCCCAAAATCTATATAACCTTCCCTTCTTGATTTTGGTATAATCAAAAGAAAAACTCCTACTTTTGACCTCCTTTTTCCTATTCATGTGTCGACTTAAATGCTAAATATTTGGTGGGGGACAGAAAACAATACCATGTATGGTATGGTATAGAAGCGAACCACTTTATGTTCTTCTTTTTTCATAGATACTTGAAAAGGAAAGTGCTCAACCGAAGAATCAAAAGGACAAACAAATGCAATTCCTCGTATTGGTAGAGCTAAACCATTTATATTACCTATTTCTAATCTTCCCAAAATCGTTGCACGTTCATATTCATTTTTCACTTCAAATTTAAAGGCCTAAAAAATTCATTTATTTTTGTCAAAATTTTCCCATCATAGTAACATTTTCTTTGCATCCACACGCGTAAATGCAAGTAGTTATGAGCATCTATCATCACCAGCTTTCTAAAAGTAAGTTGATGGAAAAGCAAAATGCTTGATGACGTTCTATACTGTTTTTCCATTCGCAGCATATACCCATGACGAAAGGAATCCATTTTCTTTTTTAAACTTTAGGAATGCCAATCTGGAGGCTAGATTGCTATATTCCAATGCTTACGCAATTTTCCAATACCATTTTGTGGCTTCCTTTTTTATGTTACAACATTGGAAACAGATGCTCCAATCCCATTCACCTATTGTTGTTTTTGTAGCACACCACTTGGGCTAGTCAATTTGCCTCTCTTTTCAGACAGAAAATTTCAGACAGACTCCGAAGCTACAGTTTCCACTGGTTATTGCAATTAAATTCTGCATTCATAGTGTTTGTGTGGTTAAATGTTATTAGAAATCTTATTTTTTTAAAAAAAAAAATGCATATTTTCTGCATAATGACTAATGAGTAATGAGGAGGAAGTTGTCATCTGCTTCAAACTGGGGGAACATCCTCTTATATCACTTCTTTTATATTTGGTGGATGATAACAGCGTAATCATCGGGGTTACGAGGAAATTGAAAACCTCGTTACCTTTCAAACAATGGTCGTTGTCTTCTTTTTTTGGGAAAGAGCATGCAAGAATAATTCCTTAACAAGTTGATTCAGTGGAAAACAGAAGTAATTTATTCCCCAGGAATTGATCTATCAGCTGTTCATTGCAATCGAAATCTCATACAAGATTGGAAAATAATTCTTAGAATCCAAACATTGTGATTTTCTAGAGAATCTTGAAACTTGGATCACAAATTGCGGATAAATGGGGACAATTCCAATTCATTTCAAAATTTGTAGTGATCGAAACGTTAAACGGCCAATTCAATCAGTTGGTATTTGTAAAAGGGTTCTTTAACAGGCACTTGTCATACAAAAATTATCGTGCGAAAATGTACATATTAACATTCATTGTCTCCCGTTGTATTTGAAAATAATTTTTATATTTAAATTAAATTTCTTAAAATGTTAATACTTGAGAACTTTGTTAATGAGTCCAAAAAATTTAGGAAATATTTGTTCTTTTAGTTAACATGACGCTTGTTACTTAGTACTAATAGTTGTCATCAAAATGGGGCTTATTATTAATTGGAGAATTATATCAAAGTAAAATGGAAGCGACAAATTTTTTTCTTCCAATATATGTAAACGATGTAGCTACTGAACAGGTGGAATTAGAGTTTGTACATCCATTTTACCAAAAAAAAAAAAAAAAAAGCATTTTACTATTAGGAGTATATATAATTGAGGTAATAGAAAGGTTTCATGACAAATACTTGCTCACATGACAGTTGAATCTTTGAAACTCAAAAGCAAGAAAAGAAAAACAATAAATGAAAGAGCGAGGCAGAGAGTTTCTGTACGTACGTTTGTGTTTTTCTCCATGCACATAGACAAGGCAATCAATATAGTTGTGAATGCTTTGAGGTAATAGAAAGGAAAACAAGAGCTTAGAATCCACAGGAATTATGACTGGTGGTTAGGTGTTGTTCGATTGGACTGTCGATAGAGATGGCGTTTGATTCGGGGGAATGGATTTCATTTCCTTGTTAAAGAACTTTCTTAATTTCACTGTCAAATTCTTAATGACCAGTACCTACATATGAACCCATGTGGGACAAATTCAATGTCTCCAAGAGACAATTTTTCTTTTTTCTGGCGAATAATTCACCCAAAAACGAATTTTTGTCGAATACAAACTATAAAGGCAGACGAGTTTCGACACCTTAAATATACGTGAATAAAAAAAAAAATCCATACCTTAAAGTCCCACCAAATTCTGCCGGCTAAACCAATAAAACCAGAGGTTGGGATTTGGAGGGCAAGACTAAAAAGATGTACACTTGAAGGGGCATCCTCACATTTTGTAAAAAAGCTTGGGGAGTAAAGTCTAATAGCTATGAGGATATAAGAGAAAATCTATAACATTTTAATATAAATTAAAAAGGATTTCTAAAATTGG